TCGGTTATGCAGGCAGATCATCACGAATGGACAAACGAACGAATGAATTGTTTTCTGCAAAAGCCCCCCTCCCCTTTTGCTCCTCATTTAATCTTGATGGGAGGGGCCATTCATCATCCACCTGTGGCCTTACTCCCATGTCGGCCCCGAGTTCTTAATTGTGCCTTTCTTTCGGCAGCTCTGTGCATGCGCAGGCAGGGAACCGGCTCCAGAAGCTCCCCCGCCTCACTGCTGTCCGAGCCCAAAGGCAGCTGATGACTGCCAGTCTGCCCTGGCCCCATCTCTGCCTCTGACGCAGAGCCCTCGTCCGAGCCCTCCTCGGCCTCCAGGAACGGCCCAGGTTCCTCCTCAACCTCCTCGCTACTGTCTGGTTCTGCTGCCAGCTCTGTCAGCCACCGGTGGGCCACAGCAGGATCCGAGATCTGGAAAAATATCGGAGGCCATGAAAACCAACATGCCGATTGGAGGATTCTGGGAGCTGAGGCCGCCATTTTGGTTGGGGGGAAATCCAGAGGCCGCCATTTTGATTTCCCAGAGAGGAAATCCTGGACTCCCAACTACGATGAAGCCCAAAACATTCCGTTATCAAGCAAGACAGTTGTGGAATGAGTCCTTGCTCCATTTTACGACCTTTTTCGCTAGAGTGGTTAAATGAATCACCACAGCCATTCAGTTAGGAACACAGTTGTTAAGTGAATCTGGTTTCTCCATTGACTTCGTTTAACGGAACACCCCCCCACCCCCCGCCAGATCACACTGCAACCATCATGAGGAAGAGCCAGGTGCCAAGCGTCCGAATTTTGATCTCACAACCATGGGGATGTTGCAATGGTCATAAGTGTGAAAAACGATCCTAATTCACTTTTTTTTTTTCAGGGCCACTGTCACTTTCAGCGGTCCCTAAAGTGGTTGTAACTTGAGGACTATCAATTCTAGGGAGCTAGAGCTTTTCTCAACAACAAAAAAAATATCTGTGGCCCTTTTTCATGGTTCCTGCGGTTTTGTGGCCAGGAATATGTTTGCACCCCTTGGACAATGAGCTGTGAACCCCCAACAACAAAAAAAGTCCTACACGTAGGGAAGAAAGTCCCAAAGGACACCTATAATAGACCGGGTGAAACCAGGCTCAATAGCAGGAACTGGGAGGGGGATCTCGGAGTCTTAGTGGACAACCAGCTAAATAGGAGCCAATGTTGTGCAGCAGCCGCCAAAAAACCCAATGCAATCCTATGTTGCATTAACGGAGGGATACAATCGAGGTCAAGGGAGGTACTAATACCACTCTATAAAGCCTTAGTAAGGGCCACACCTAGAGTCCTGCATTCAGTTTTGGTCACCACACTATAAAAAAGATGTTGAGACTCTAGAAAAAGTGCAGAGAAGAGCAACCAGGATGATGAGGGGGCTGGAGGATAAAATGGTTGCAGGAACTGGGCCTGGCTAGTCTAGGGAAGAGAAGGACCAGGGGAGACAGGAGAGCATCTTCCAATATTTGAGGGAGGGGCTGCCCAAGAGAGGAGGAAGAGGGGTCAAGCTATTTTCTTTAAAGCACCCGAAGGCCAGACAAGGAATAATGGATGGAAACTGATCCAGGAGAGATTCAACCTGGAAATGAGGAATTTTTGGACAGTGAGAACAATCCACCGATGGAACAGAAGTTGACCTTGGAAGTTCAGGGGGCTTTCAAGAAGAAACTGGACCGCCATTTATCAGAAACGGTCTATCCTATCCTGTCCTGTCCTGTCCTGTCCTGTCCTGTCCTATTCTTAATTCCTAATATTATTCCTATTCTCTTGTCCTCTGTATTCTATTCTATTCTCTACTCCAGGGGTATCAAACTGGATTCCGAGGGCCGGATAAGCATTGTAGTTCTCCCTCACGGGCTGGCGGGCAGACGGATGCCTCCTGCAGCACCCCTGCCGGCCCAAAGGAGACACGGCGGGGTGTCCATGCACGCCCCCCCCTCCCCCATACCTCGTTTTCACCCTCCATGGCCTCCTGCACCGCTCTGCCGGCCATTTTCGGGCCCTTTTTCACCCTGTTTTTTTCATGGAGGGTGAAAACAGGATGCAGCGCCCCCCCCCCGCCCATTTTAGGTGCCAGGGGCATCGCGGCCCCATCCTTGGATATTTCCAGGCTGGCCCTGCAAGCCGGATTTAAGCACCCCGTGAGCCGGATTCAGCCCGTAAGCCTTGAGTTTGACATCCCTTCCATATTCTATTCTATCCTATCCCTTATTCTATTCTATTCTATTCTGTTCTACTCTATTCCTAATTCCATTCCATTCCTTTATTCTATGCTATTCTATTCCTTTATTCTATTCTATTCTATTCCTTTATTCTATTCTATTCCTTTATTCTATTCTATTCTACATTCCAATATTCTGTTCTATTCTATTCTATTCTACTCTATTCTAATTCCATTCCTTTATTCTATGCTATTCTATTCTCTATTCTATTCTATTCCTCTATTCTATTCTATTCTATTCTATTCTATTCTATTCTATTCTATTCTATTCTATTCTATATGCTATTCTATTCTCCATTCCATTCCATTCTATTTTTTATTTATTTTTATTTTGTCAAGCAATTATAAGATTATAGGTATAAGTATAAACACAGTTATGAATACATGAAATGGATACGAATAAGAAAAAAAAAGAAACAATCGGACAGGGACGGTAGGCACGTTGGTGCGCTTATGCAGGCCCCCCACAGACCTCTTAGGAAAGGGGTGAGGTCAATAGTAGACAGTCTACGGTTAAAGTTTTTGGGGTTTGGGGAAGAAACCACAGAGTCAGTAGAGGATTCCAGACATTGACCGCTCTGTGGCTGAAGTCGTATTTCCTGCAATCAAGTTTGGTGCGGTTAACCTTGAGTTGGTATCTATTGTGTGCTCTTGTGCTGTTATGGTTGAAGCTGAAGTATTCATTGACAGGCAGGACATTGCAATATATAATTTTTAATTTTATTTAATTCTCTATTCTATTCTTCTTAGTTCTTAATTCCTAGTTCTATTCCTATTCTATCCCATTCCATTCTATTTAAATTCTAAAGTTCTTAGTTCTTAATTCTATTCCTATTCTATTTTCTATTCTATTCTACTTGTTCTATTCCTATTGAACTACCTCCACGGTTAGTAGAAAACAACCGAGCTCAAGAGATCACCAGGGACTCCTCTGAATGGCAATCTTTTGTGCTGGCCCACCCAAACAGGGATTGGATGCCTTCTGCAGAACCGTGATATTCTGCTAATTATTCCAGCTTTTCTGCAAAGAACAAAACTGATTCCATGCCCCGCCCCCCCAAAAAATCTCTAACGCCCAGCGTGGCACCCTGTCCTCTGGCTCCTCCCACCTTGTGCCCCCTTTCCTCTGTTGCCCCCCCCCAAAGAAACGTCCAATTCCACTTTCTGCAAATGCAATGCACCCCCAGGGCTTCCTCCCCACCCCACCACGAGCAAAGCGGTCCCAAGGAAGGATCCCCTCCCCAATTCCAGCCTGCGACCCTGGAGAATAAGAACTGCTTTACAGGACGGGCATTATCTTCCCAGGGACCCTTCCAGAGGGAGGGGGAGGAGAAGTGGCCTGAGAGCAGAGCTGAACCTTCCTTAGGACCGAAGCTTCTATTACGGAGGGCAGACTCAGGTAGCAGATGGCAGAAAGGTAGATCTCTGAGTGAATCTGTGATTCTGCAAGCAACTCAATTTTTGCTTTGCCTGATTTTGGGTAAAAGTTGCTCTTTTTTATATAAAAAAATCCAGTATTTACAGAAATATTTACATACAAGCCACGCCCATCCAGTCATGGCCACCAAGCCACACCCCAATTAGGCCACGCCCACAGAACCGGTTGTTAAGGTCTTTGAATCCCACCCCAAGGGTACCGGTGTAAATTGTGATCTGCAAGCCCCCACCTTCTTCCTAAGGCTCCAGCGCGCCCCACCCTCTTCCTTGTGGCCCAAAGATGCCCCCCAAGTCCACCATTCTCCGGCTATGTAATGGGAAATCCCTCGGACTACACTGCAGGGTTGTCGTAGCACCGGTCCGCCGCTGCCCTTTGCAGAGCCTCGGAAAAGGGCCGGCATAATCGGCGCGCGAACAAAAGAACTGCTCCCTTTTCCCTTCGCAGTCCTGCTCGCCGGTAGTGCGCAGACTCACGTCCTGGCCCTTTCTGCGCATGCGTCAAGGAACCCAGCTCCCGTTACTCCGACCGCCCGACTGCCTGGTATAGAACGCGGATCCCGCGCATGCGCAACGGAGCACCTGCGTCCAGAAAAAAATAGGGAGCAAGTAAAATATCCCTCGCGTAGTTATTAGCTCGAACCGTGTTTAAGACGTTGTTTTAAATCACGACCATCAACGGGGTTGTACATCTGCAATTAATCATTTTTTAAAAAAATAAAATAAAAGGTCATTCCGCGCAGGCGCAAAGCTTAGGAGGAGAGGATGACGCATGCGCAAATCAGAATGGTAACGGAAAGAGGGGAAAAAAACGGGGGGAACGCGATTGCGCAGAAAGATCCTGGGAAAGAAACAAAAATAGTGCCGGAGTCGCCGCGCGTGCGCAAATCGAGGCCGCCTGGGAGCGGCGCGGCGCCTGCGCACACAGACCGGGCAAGAAGGGGCGCGGAAACGGAGCCGAACGGGAGGGAGGGGGAACAGAGAGAAAGGAGGGGGGAAGGGGAAAAAAAAAAAAAAGCTGTATCCTCGCGCATGGGCGCGACGGAGGACCCAACCCGCTTCCTTCCCCCCCCCCCCCCCCACCGACCCGGAGCGTGCTGTGGTGTGTGTTTTTTTTTTTTTTTTGGTGCGTCCGCCCCGCGCCTGCGCGGCAGAGGCCCGCCGCCGCGCGCATGCTCCCGGGGCGGCGGGGAGGCGGCGGTGCGCCTGCGCGACGAACGCTGTGGCAGCGGCGGTGGCGGCGGCGGGGCCCTGCGTGTGAGGCGGCGGCGGCGGCGGCGGGGGGCGACCTTCTTCTTCCTCTTCTTCCTCCTCTTCTTCTTCCTCCCCTCAGCGGCAGCGCGGGCCCCGCCCCCTGTCATGGCAGCCGTCCCCTCAGCCGACCCGCGGGCTGTCCCGGAGGCGGAGGCTGAGGCGGCGGAGGGTTCCCTCAGGCCCGTCGGGTAGGCCGAGCCGGAGAGTCTGCCCCCCCTCCCCCTCCCCACACGCCCCCCCACACCCTCCGCGGCTAAGCCCCCCCTCGCCAGCCCGGCCTGAGCGTCGCGCTGCGGCCCGGCCCTCGCCGTTGGATGTGGGAAAGGATGGAGGCCAAGACGGTGGTCTACGACCTGGACACCACGGGGGGCCTCATGGAGGTGAGCGCGCGCGGGGGGGGGGGGGGGGGGGGGGGGGGGGGGGGGGGGGGGGGGGGAGGGGGGGGAGGGGGGGGCCCGCCAGGCGCCCGGCTGACCCAGGCTCTCCCCCCTGCCCCCCCCCCCCCCCCCGCAGCAAATCCAGGCGCTGTTGGCCCCCCCGCGGAGCGACGACGGAGGAGGCGGCGGCGGCGGCGGGAGCGAGAAGCGGAGCCGGCGGCCGGAGCGAGGAGGAGGAGGCGGAGGAGGAGGAGGCGGCGACGGGCACCCCGCGCACCACTTCCAGCAACAGCAGCATCCTCCGCACCACCATCACCATCACCACCACCACCAGCAGCAGCAGCACCACAACCACCCCTCCGCGCCGGCCGTCTCGCACGGGCCCCTCCCGCCGGCGGCCCCCCAAGCCGGCCCCCCTGGCGCCCCGCATCCGCACCCGCAGCACCCGCACCCGCACCACCCGGCGCCGCCGCCGTCATCCTCGGCCACCTCCTCCTCCTCGGCCGCCCAGCGACGCAGCGGGCGGGCCACGAACCACGACAGCTGCGACAGCTGCAAGGAGGGCGGCGACCTGCTCTGCTGCGACCACTGCCCGGCCGCCTTCCACCTCCAGTGCTGGTGAGTGAGCGAGAGAGAGCCCGGTCCTCCCTCCTTTCCCCTCCTTCCGTCTCTTGCCTCCCCCCCTTCCATCCTTCTCCCTTCCTTCCTTCCTTTTCCCTCTCTCTCTCATTCGCATCCATTCCTTCTCCTCCTTTCCTTCCCCTCTTTCTTTCCTCTCTCCACCTCTCTCCGTTCCTTTCTTCTATCCACCCATCCTTCTCCCTTCCTTCCTTTTGCCTCTCTCTCATTTGCATCCATTCCTCCTCCTCCTTTCCTTCCCTCCTTTCCTTTTTTTCCTCTCTCTCCACCTCTCTCTCCCTTCCTTTCTTCCACCCACCCATCCTTCTCCCTTCCTTCCTTTTCCCTTCGTTCCTTCTTTCTTCCATCCTCTCCCATTCGCATCCATTCCTCCTTCTCCTTTCCTTCCCTCCTTTCCCTCTTTCTTTCCTCTCTCCACCTCTCTCCCTTCCTTTCTTCCATCCACCCATCCTTTTCCCTTCCTTCCTTCTTTCTTCCACCCTCTCTCATTCCCATCCATTCATCCTTCTCCTTTCCTTCCCTCCTCCTTTCTTTCCCTCCTTCTCTCTTCTCTCCTTCCACCTCTCTCTCTCTTCCCCCCTTCCTTTCTTCTATCCATCCACCCTTCTCCCTTCCTTTTCCGTTCCTTCCTTCCTTCTTCCTCCATTTCTCCCTTCCCTCCTTCCCTTCTTTCCTTTCTTCTTCCCTTTACCTCTCTCTCTTTCCATTCCTTTCTTCCATCCATCCTTCTCCCTTCCTTCCCTCCTAACCCCTTCCTTCCCTTATTTCTTCCTTCTTCCCTCCACCGCTATCTCCCTTCCTTCCTTCCATCCATCCACCTTCCTTCCCTCCTTTTCCTTTCTTTCCTTCCCTCCTTCCTTTTTCCCACCCTGCCTTTCCCTTCCTTTCCTCCATCTATCTATCCTTCTCCCTTCCCTCCTTCCTTCTTTCCCGCTTTCCTTCCTCCCTTCCCTCCCTTTTCCTTCCTTTCTGCCATCCATCCATCCATCCACCTCCCTTCCCTCGTTTTCCCCCCTTTCCTTACTTCCACCTCCCTCTTCCTCCCGCCGGCCCTGCCCATCCGTTATCCCTGCCCTGCCGCCTGTTATCCTGGCCGCTTCCCGTTCCCTCCGGGCAGGGCGCCGACATCATGGCAACCCGCCTGGGATCGCTGCCTCTTTTCCTCCAGCGCCATTTTGCCCATTGGGCCCCTCCTGGTGTGTGTCCCCCCCCCCTTTCCCCCATCAGCCTCCGAGGCCCGAGTCCAGGGAGGGAGGGAGGGAGGGAGGCTGGGCTGGGCTGGGGCCCTCCTGGCTGGGAGGTGGATGAGAAAGAGGAGGAGGGCGCCAGCTACTCCCAAGTAGACCCAGGCAGGCTCGCGCTGCTGCTTCCTCCCTCGCCCTACTCTTTTGTTTATAGCCCGGTGGTGTTTTTCCGGCTCCTCCTCCTCCTCCTCTTCCAGCCGTGAAATCGGCTGCAGGTTTCCCAGCCCATTGTTTGCATTTGGTACTCCCACCCCCACCCACCCCCTGCCTGGGGATCGGGGAGCCCGGTCGGAAAGAAGGTGCCTTTGCCCGCTAGGCAGGCAGGCAGGCAGGCAGGCAGTCTGGGTGGCGCAGGCCTCCGGAGCTGGCAGGAGCGCAGGGAAGAGGCGGTGTAGAGGTGGCGGCGGCGGCAGCCATAAAAGGAAGGCAGCAGTGCGACAGGCTAAGGTGTCCTCGCCTGCCGCCTCTGGATCGGGAGGGTCAGCGGGGAAGCGAGCCTCGGGTGGCTTTTGTGCCCTTGTCTGGAGCCTTCCCCTTCCTCCTGCCTGCGGACGTGGGCCGGGCCGGGCCTCCGGGTTGCTGTTGGAGGCGGCTGAAAGTTGCTTTTGAGCTGGTCGGCAGGAAAGCAGCGATGACCCCAGACCGGCAAGGTGGCTGGTGTGATGGGAGGCTTTGGAAGGGCCCAGCCCGCCCTGAAAGGGAAGGAGGCTGGAGAAGCGGAGGAGGAGGAGGAGAACCGTAGCCTGAATTCTGTGCCCGTAGGACAGTTACACCGAGGGCCCAGCCTGACCTGTGCTGGGCACCGGCCCTGCCACCTCCCAGCCATTGTCTGGGTTGAGAGTTACGCCCCAGCGCATCTACAAGAGAGAGAAAGAGAGAGAGCGGCCGTTGCCCCCAGCTCTGGGTCTCAATGGCTCCCGTCCTCTTTGGCAGCCGTTCCCATTGGCGGAACCGGGACTTGCCTCCCCTCGGCTTCTGCTGGGCCACGCTGCTGCGTCTCGGCCAACCATTTTGCCTCCCGGCGTCTGCGGGTGAGGAGCTGTGGGGGGGTGGGGGGGTGTCCTGCCTCTCCATCTAACATGCCTCTTTTTTTAAGATGGCCCTGAGCTGCCTTCGGCGGAAGGCAAATGGCTGTTTAATTGAAGGTGGCGTTCGATTTCTCTTTCCCCGGCATTTGTTTCTGTTTAAATTATACACAAACTGGCAGCACACATGGGAGGCTTTGCTTTCTGCATTTGTTTAACTTGGGCCCCTTCTTTTCCCGGCGCTGGGTTGGCTTGTGTTGTTTACACAGTTGCAAATAAAAAAAAATATATATTATTTTTTCCTTTTGCTTTGCCTTTCTTGCTTCGACTTCAAACAAGTGCTCGTTCTCGCAGTTGCTCGAGGCATTTTTCTTGTTGGGAGCCGAGAGTAAGGTGGACGGAGGCAGCCTAGGGAAGGAAAATGGCAGAAGCTGGCCGTTATGAGGGTCGCTGACACGACCCTGCCTTGTTCCTCGGTTTGGGGAGGGCTGGACTCTGAATTTTGTAGAGGTTGGGCTTTGGGGCCCTGGCATCGGGACTGTTCTGCCTCCCAGGTCTTTTTTTTTTAAAAATCTAAGCTTTATTACTCACGAGCAAAGAGAGAAGCTGTTCAGCACGGGAAAAGGGATGCTGGAAAATGGAGAGGGGGGCAGTGGTTTTTTTTTGTCACCGTCCTGAAAAATAAGGCCGTTATTCATCTTTCTTGTGTATGTGATGGGCTGTGTTGCTTCTGAACTGTACCTGCTCAAAACTTGCCTGTCAAACAAAGGAAGGCCTGTCTGCCTTAGATACGTTCTCTCTGATGCTGACCTGGGCGCTTCCCTCGTGATTTTCATGCAACCGGGATGCGGCCTCTGGATAGTCGGCAAAGGATTAATTTGTATTAAAAGGATTACCGTTGGGAGCGAGCTCCACTTAGGGCCCTGCCTTTCGGTCAGGCAAGATCCTGCGTGTGTCGGCAGCGTTCGTGGCTTCCTTTTTAAGATATCGAGAGATAGCGATCGATCGTTGCCATAGCATTGTTTAGAAAATACATAGGAAAAAACTCTTAGAAAAGAGTTTGTAAAATCTTGGTCAACACCCTGGTAAAATAGATAAACGGAGTGTATCCTGTCTGTTTTGTGTTTCTTGAGAACTTGCGCACTCCTGGCCTGTATTTTATGTCCAGCCTGTCCTTTCCTCTCGGGACGTGCTATATTTAATGAAGATTAGCAAGAAAGTTATTGTGTGTCTTTAAAAAAAACTTCTGTTCGGTGCAGCCCTGTTCTTTCGGCTGCTGAGATTAACGTTGACATTAGTGTAACCGATTCTTTTGAACAGCTTTTGTGAATAAAATAAAAAATAAAAATAGCTAGGAGATGCTTGACTGTTTTATTTTCTTTCACCCGTCCCTCAGTCCGGTGCCTTCGTATATGCTCTACGGTTACCAGAAGGCCCATGGCTGGGAATTTGGGAAATAGGCCTCTTACCACATTTGAAAACATCAGGCTGGGAGAACTTAAGAATACTGTGTGCCTCTAGCTGTCGTGATCTTCATTCCTTCCCCCTTTTTAATATCCGCTTACATATACATTAACTTTCGGCGGCCGTTCCCAAAGTAAGTTTATGGTTTTGTGGGTGAGCTTGGCTCTACCAAGGGCAGATACCTTCCAAGCTGTTAGATTTAGAAGTTACCAACTCCAGAATGACTCTGGGCAAGCTTAGATGTAAAATAGATAAACAATTAAAAAAAAATATGAATCTAACCGTGCAGATAAGCTGCAACGTCCCGTTCAAATTACGTCCCAGGGCTCCACGAACACCCTAGCCCAAGGCAGGGGAGAGCAGCCAGCTTTCTAAAGGCTTCCGGAACATCGTCGGGACGGTTGCTAAAGGGATCTCTGTAATTAAAAGGAATTTCACCAAGGGAGAAAAAGAGGAGCTTTGTTTGGCAGGTAACTAGGAAATAAGCGGATAGCGGCAGAGAACAAACGGAAATTTGCTTCCCCCCGGTTGTAAAAGCCACCTCCAACCTTCATGAATCCTCATGTCCTATCTGGGTGAACTCCCACCGATAACCAGCCTCTCAGGCTAGAGTTCTAAAACCTTTGAAATCAGCTGCAATTTCCCTTGGAAAAAAAAATAAAAATAAAAAGACAACGGCCCCGTGTATAAGGAACTTGACTGTTTCCTGCCTGGTGGAGATTCTCAGGGAACCAGGTCACGGGTCTCCCAAAGGTGCTTCTTTCCCAAGGCAGCTGGACTTTTTTCTTTTCTTCTTTGAAAACCCTTCGCTTCTCACCCGGGAAGCTGCTTCAGTTCCGAAGAAGTGAAGAACTGGAGAAGCTTCTTGGATGAGAAGGGAAATGTCTTCGAGGGAGGAAAAAAACAAACAACCCCAAAGTCTAGTTGCCTTTTGAAAAAGCACATTTGAGTCTTCACTTACGGCCTTTTACTACTTCCTCGCTTCCTATTATTTTTGTGGATTTTCTTCCTGGAGGCTCACTCTGTACCTTTAAGGAGCTGACTTTGTTTCCCTTATGGGGTGTTTTTTTTTTCTTTGTTTGGCTTGGCTGCTCTCAATATAGGTCAGCCATTTGGAGACCTGTGGTGCGAGGGCTTGAAAGGAAATTCTGGCGTCGGCCTTGCTGAGGAGTTCCGGTTGGTTCCTGTTCTCTCGACAGCCCCGGGGGTGTGTGTGTGTGTGTGCCCTGGTGTCTTCTAAGGGGGT